AGGGGGAAAATAAACAAAATCATTTGCCGCGCGTCTGGACGAGTGACGAAAGAAAATGGTCTTCGCGAGAAAAAGTCGAGAAAAAGTCCAGGAACTTGGAGAGTGATAAGTCGCAACCCCTTCACCAAGGGGATGGGAGACAAGGGGGATGGTTCGATGGCTAACTTAGAGAGTGATAAGTCGCAATTCCTTTACGAATTTGGGGATGGGGGGATGGGAGACAAGGCGGATGGTTCGTTGGCTAACTTAGAGAGTGATAAGTCGCAATTCCTTTACCAATTTGGGGATGGGGGGATGGGAGACAAGGGGGATGGTTCGTTGGCTAACTTAGAGAGTGATAAGTCGCAATTCCTTTACCAATTTGGGGATGGGGGGATGGGAGACAAGGGGGATGGTTTGTTGGCTAACTTAGAGAATGATAAGTCGCAATTCCTTTACCAATTTGGGGATGGGATGGGAGACAAGGGGGATGGTTCGTTGGCTAACTTAGAGAGTGATAAGTCGCAATTCCTTTACCAATTTGGGGATGGGGGGATGGGAGACAAGGGGGATGGTTCGTTGGCTAACTTAGAGAGTGATAAGTCGCAATTCCTTTACCAATTTGGGGATGGGGGGATGGGAGACAAGGGGGATGGTTCGTTGGCTAACTCAGAGAGTGATAAGTCGCAATTCCTTTACCAATTTGGGGATGGGGGGATGGGAGACAAGGGGGACGGTTCGTTGGCTAACTTGGAGAGTGATAAGTCGCAATTCCTTTACCAATTTGGGGATGGGGGGATGGGAGACAAGGGGGATGGTTCGTTGGCTAACTTAGAGAGTGATAAGTCGCAATTCCTTTACCAATTTGGGGATGGGGGGATGGCAGACAAGGGGCATGGTTCGTTGGCTAACTTAGAGTGTGATAAGTCGCAATTCCTTTACCTATTTGGGGATGGGGGGATGGGAGACAAGGGGGATGCTTCGTTGGCTAACTTGGAGAGTGATAAGGCGCAATTCCTTTACCAATTTGGGGATGGGGGGATGGGAGACAAGGGGGATGGTTCGTTGGCTAACTTAGAGAGTGATAAGTCGCAATTCCTTTACCAATTTGGGGATGGGGGGATGGGAGACAAGGGGGATGGTTCGTTGGCTAACTTAGAGAGTGATAAGTCGCAATTCCTTTACCAATCTGGGGATGGGGGGATGGGAGACAAGGGGGACGGTTCGTTGGCTATCTTAGAGAGTGATAAGTCGCAATTCCTTTACAAATTTCACCAATTTGGGGATGGGGGGGGTGGGGACGGTTCGTTGGCTAACTCAGAGAGTGATAAGTCGCAATTCCTTTACCAATTTGGGGATGGGGGGATGGCAGACAAGGGGGATGGTTCGTTGGCTAACTTAGAGAGTGATAAGTCGCAATTCCTTTACCAATTTGGGGATGGGGGATGGCAGACAACGGGCATGGTTCGTTGGCTAACTTAGAGAGTGATAAGTCGCAATTCCTTTACCAATTTGGAGATGGGGGGATGGCTTAGAGAGTGATATGTCGCAATTCCTTTACCAATTTGGGGATGGGGGGCTGGGAGACAAGGGGGATGGTTCGTTGGCTAACTTAACTTAGAGAGTGATAAGTCGCAATTCCTTTACGCATTTGGGGATGGGGGGATGGGAGACAAGGGGGATGGTTCGTTGGCTAACTTAGAGAGTGATAAGTCGCAATTCCTTTACCAATTTGGGGATGGGGGGATGGGAGAGAAGGGGGATGGTTCGTTGGCTAACTTAGAGAGTGATAAGTCGCAATTCCTTTACCAATTTGGGGATGGGGGGGTGGGAGACAAGGGGGATGGTTCGATGGCTAACTTAGAGAGTGAATAAGTCGCAATTCCTTTACCAATTTGGGGATGGGGGGATGGGACGTTGGCTAACTTAGAGAGTGATAAGTCGCAATTCCTTTATCAATTTGGGGATGGGGGGATGGGAGACAAGGGGGATGGTTCGTTGGCTAACTTAGAGAGTGATAAGTCGCAATTCCTTTACCAATTTGGGGATGGGATGGGAGACAAGGGGGATGGTTCGTTGGCTAACTTAGAAAGTGACAAGTCGCAATTCCTTTACCAATTTGGGGACGGGGGATGGGAGACAAGGGGGATGGTTCGTTGGCTAACTTAGAGAGTGATAAGTCGCAGTTCCTTTACCAATTTGGGGATGGGGGGATGGGAGACAAGGGGGATGGTTCGTTGGCTAACTTAGAGAGTGATAAGTCGCAATTCCTTTACCAATTTGGGGATGGGGGGATGGGAGACAAGGGGGATGGTTCGTTGGCTGACTTAGAGAGTGATAAGTCGCAATTCCTTTACCAATTTGGGGATGGGGGGATGGGAGACAAGGGGGATGGTTCGTTGGCTAACTTAGAGAAAGATAAGTCGCAATTCCTTTACCAATTTGGGGATGGGGGGATGGGAGACAAGGGGGATGGTTCGTTGGCTAACTTAGAGAGTGATAAGTCGCATTTGCTTTACCAATTTGGGGATGGGGGGATGGGAGACAAGGGGGATGGTTCGTTGGCTAACTTAGAGAGCGATAAGTCGTATTTGTTTTACCAATTTGGGGATGGGGGGGATAGGAGACAAGGGGGATGGTTCGTTGGCTAACTTAGAGAGTGATAATTCGCAATTCCTTCACCAATTTCGGGGCCGGGGATGGTTCGATGGCTAACTTAGAGAGTGATAAGTCGCAATTGCTTTACCAATTTGGGGATGGGGGGATGGGAGACAAGGGGGATGGTTGGATGGCTAACTTAGAGAGTGATAAGTCGCAATTTCTTTACTAATTTGGGGATGGGGGCATAAAACACAAAGGGGATGGTTCGATGGCTAACTTAGAGAGTGATAAGTCGCAATTCCTTTACCAATTTGGGGATTGGGGGATGGGAGACAAGGGGGATGGTTCGTTGGCTAACTTAGAGAGTGATAAGTCGCAATTCCTTTACCAATTTGGGGATGGGGGGATGGGAGACAAGGGGGATGGTTCGATGGCTAACTTAGAGAGTGATAAGTCGCAATTCCTGTACCAATTTGGGGATGGGGGGGTGGGAGACAAGGGGGATGGTTCGATGGCTAACTTAGAGAGTGATAAGTCGCATTTTGTTTTACCAATTTGCGGATGCGGGGATGGGAGACAAGGGGGATGGTTCGTTGCCTAACTTAGAGAGTGATAAGTCGCAATTCCCTTACCAATTTGGGGATGGGGGAATGGGAGACACGGGGGATGGTTCGTTGGCTAACTTAGAGAGTGATAAGTCGCAATTCCTTTACCAATTTGGGGATGGGGGGATGGGAGACAAGGGGATGATTCGATGGCTAACTTAGAGAGTGATAAGTCGCAATTCCTTTACCAATTTGGGGATGGGGATGGGAGACAAGGGGGATGGTTCGTTGGCTAACTTAGAGAGTGATAAGTCGCAATTCCTTTACCAATTTGGGGATGGGGGGGTGGAAGACAAGGGGATGATTCGATGGCTAACTTAGAGAGTGATAAGTCGCAATTCCTTTACCAATTTGGGGATGGGGGGGTGGGAGACAAGGGGGATGGTTCGATGGCTAACTTAGAGAGTGAATAAGTCGCAATTCCTTTACCATTTTGGGGATGGGGGGATGGGACGTTGGCTAACTTAACTTAGAGAGTGATAAGTCGCAATTCCTTTACGAATTTGGGGATGGGGGGATGGGAGACAAGGGGGATGGTTGGATGGCTAACTCAGAGAGTGATAAGTCGCAATTCCTTTATCAATTTGGGGATGGGGGGATGGGAGACAAGGGGGATGGCTCGTTGGCTAACTTAGAGAGTGATAAGTCGCAATTCCTTTACCAATTTGGGGATGGGGGGGTGGGAGACAAGGGGGATGGTTCGATGGCTAACTTAGAGAGTGATAAGTCGCAATTCCTTTACCAATTTGGGGATGGGGGGATGGGAGACAAGGGGGATGGTTCGTTGGCTAACTTAGAGAGTGATAAGTCGCAATTCCTTTACCAATTTGGGGATGGGGGGATGAGACAAGGGGGATGGTTCGTTGGCTAACTTAGAGAGTGATAAGTCGCAATTCCTTTACCAATTTGGGGATGGGGGGATGGGAGACAAGGGGGATGGTTCGATGGCTAACTTAGAGAGTGATAAGTCGCAACTCCTTTACCAATTTGGGGATGGGGGTTGGGAGACAAGGGGGATGGCTCGATGGCTAACTTAGAGAGTGATAAGTCGCAATTCCTTTACCAATTTGGGGATGGGGGGATGGGAGACAAGGGGGATGGTTCGTTGGCTAACTTAGAGAGTGATAAGTCGCAATTCCTTTACCAATTTGGGGATTGGGGGATGGGAGACAAGGGGGATGGCTCGATGGCTAACTTAGAGAGTGATAAGTCGCAATTCCTTTACCAATTTGGAGATGGGGGGATGGGAGACAAGGGGGATGGTTCGATGGCTAACTTAGAGAGTGATAAGTCGCAACTCCTTTATCAATTTGGGGATGGGGGGATGGGAGACAAGAGGGATGGTTCAGGGGTGATTTCTGGGCATCGGGCTAGCATCAGAGACATCTTCAGACCGATCTGCTGAAATGGGGTTGCCTTAAATTTAGGCAACCCCCCAAGTTTCCCATTTGGTTTCCCCTAAAACAAACCAACAATGAGCGCCCCAACAAAAGACACACCCAAATCAGACCGGTTACCAATCCTGGTAACCATCACATCTAGAACCAGTTCGACGTAGCGGCTCTCTGGTTTCTCACCGTCAAACGCCAGGAAATTCTGCCAGAGATCATTGCGCTTGGTTCAAAACCCGGCACAAAAATGGTGCACTGCAGAACCATGCAAATATTTTTCAAAGGCGGCCGGGCGGCCGCTATTTCTGGCCAGGGGATCGTCCATTCCTACCCTTCATCGATCCCCGGGTTTTGGGGCACGTGGCTCTGCTGGCTTCTGGGTACTGGTTTCGCTGGCGCCGGTGGCCATCGCCGCCTTTTTCTCTCAGCTCCGGCACAGCGCGTCCACCGCCGCTAGCGCCTTCTGCGCCTCGTATTTGGCCCCGGAGGGCGAGGTCATCATCTCATTGGCCTGGCGCGGAAGATCGAGCTGGGTGTTGGATAAGCTTAAACCAAGTTTATGGGGAGTAAACAATGTATTCATGCGAGTAAACTATGCGTTTAATAGGGATTTACTTTTTTTTGGGATCATGATGGGAACAAACTAATTTAGGCCTCTGCATGAAACATGTTTAAACCACCCTGGTTCCCGAGTCGCCGGTGTCTTTCTCCATTTTCTCAAAGGGGGGATCCCCAAAACTGGTGGTTTCCGTTTGGTTCCCTTTTGGTGGCCCTTCAAACGAGCCAACCGACCAACCAAACCAAACCAAACCAAACCAAGCCAAGCCAAGCCAAGCCAAACCAAACCAAACCAACCAAGCCAAGCCAAACCAAACCAAACCAACCAAGCCAAACCAAACCCTCCAGACAGGCATACAAGGCATACCAGCGTTTTGGGGAAACACCAGCCCTAGTAAAAAACAAAAAGCCCTAGTAAAGTAGAAGCACCTCATCCCTGAAAAGGGCATCAAAAGGGAAGCGCTGGACCGGCCTCCGCGTAGGTGTGGTACACGTCCCGCAGGTGGCCGTTGGTGCGGTCACAGTCAAGCTGTAGACCCTCGAAGGTCTTGGGGTCCTGCAGGGAGTTCTCGGTTCTAAATGCCATATGTGTACTTATTTATTGATTTATACATATGTATATATATATATACATAGATGTGTGTCTTTTTTTAAGCTTACCCTTTTTGGAGTGGTGTTGAAGGGAAACCAAAGGAAACCAACTATTTTGGGGGGTCCTCTAAAGATACACCCAAATATGTGTTATACTAAGCCCCCCTCAAAAACAAAAGAGGGAAAGCGTCCTTTTCACTTTAACCGCCCCCCAGAAGGGAACCCTAAGCCAACTGGGGTAGCCGGGGTTAGTCCCCTCATAACCACGGTTGTAGCTTTTAACCCAATGTTGACCCCATATTAGTCAACCCAGTTCCCCAGCCAAAAGAACCGTGTGGTTTGCCTGGGTAGTGGAAAATAAAGGGGGCCCCAAAAAACCCAAGAATCAAACCGGGGATCTAATTTTGGGGAAGTTATATAGTTGGTGGTTTGGAGTTGAACCCCACTTCCTCTTGAAGCCAAATGGGGGGAAGGTACCCCCTTAACATCCAAACCTTCCGGCTATTAAAGGGCTCCTAGAAACAATGCACGAAACAACAAAGGGCGAAGAAAATAGAAGCAAACAAACAACCAAACAACGCCCGGAAAATCATGGGACGCCAATCAAGCCTTGAGCGGACAAAAAGAGCAAAGAACAAAAACAAGGGATCAAACGGGGAAAAAAAGCAAACAAACACAAAGACACAGGCAGGCAGACAGACAAACGGCAGGCAGGCAGGCAGTCAGACAGACACAGACACAGACACAGACACAGACACAGACACAGACACCAGCACAGAGACAGAGACAGAGACAGACAGAGACAGACAGATAGACGGAGACAGCCCAAAAACACAGACACAGAGACACATATATATGTATATATATATATATAACCATATATATATATATATATACAAGTAAACAGAACACACAACAAGGAAAAAAACAGCCAAAGCACAGAAATCGATCAGACGCCCAGACCAAAAGCCAACAGATTCCCTCAATTTAGAGGCTCCCTGGACACCGCCGCAGCCCAAGCCCACGCACAGATGCACCAATGGCCCCCGCTCTGCACCACGGAGCGCAGGTCGTTTTTGTCGTAGCGAGCGCTGGAGGCCAGGAAGGTGTCGCTCATGGTGACGCAGACCTGGAAGGCTGGGGGTGGGTTGTAAGAAAAATGTGGCAAAATTTGCACAAACCACAAGCCACAAAAGGTTGGTTTTTGTTTGAAGGTTACCAGGGTTGCAAGAGAAACCTGGCATAAATTCACAAACCACGGTCAAAACAGGTTGGTGTCCCTTGGGGTTCCCCTCGAACCAAGCCAAGTAATCCCTCAAAAATTGGGGACAGTCCGATTCTACTTGGTTGACGTCGGAAGGGGAGCAAAAATGTAAGTTTTAGCCGCTAAGTGGTTGGAGTTCAACCACTAAACCACAAGAAGCACAAGAGTAAAAACTGTTTCCCGCCAACCAGCCATGGCGTAAGGCACGACCGGCCTGGATCCAACCGTCACTTGGGTCGCGCCTGGTGGAACCCCAGGTCCGAGGGCTCCCAGGCGCAGGACCCCGTCCGCGTCCAGCCGGTGACCTGGCCGTCCGCGCCCTGCGTGCAACTCTGCAGCGGGCCCCCGAAGAGGTTCACGTCCTGGCGGAAGTGGTGGCGCTCATGCGACGAACAGTTGAATCAGGTGAAACGGCTTGCAAAAGGCGCAAAGAGGTGCTGAAAGGCTGAAAAGGTGAGACTGCGACTAAAATGGAACTGGATTAACAGGTTGAAAATGGCACCAAGAGGTGCTGAAAGGCCGAGAAGGTGAAACAGAATAATTGTTGCATAGTTAAATGATTGGCTGGCTCAAGAATGCAAGGGAACCGTCCATTGTTGAAAGGCTAAGAACTGTTCACAAGACAATGGTCAAGCCAACGGTTGCTGGCGAGCATCTTGCAGCTCCCCCCGACTTGCTTTCACACGTCGTGCGGTTTGCAGGTTCGGCGAACCGCGTCTGCCCATTGCCAGCAGAGGCCTTGGGCGGGCCACAGAAGTTGCGCGGAGCGGCTGGGACCACCTTACTTGCGCGGCCATGGCCACAAATATCGGGAGTGGCTTTTGCGAGCTAACGAAGCCAAAAACCAAACGAAGCATGAACAAAAACACAGAAAACCAACCCCAAAAAATAAAAACAAACTTAAAAGAAAAAAAATCGATCGTGCTGCCAGATCGCCTGGGCAGCTGAAAGCACTCCAGGCCCTGCCACGCAGCCACTCCCAGCAGCAGCACCCGGACGCCGCGCACCGCCGACCGCCCGAAAACCCGTGGGCTTTTCGTCGGCGGCGAAGCGGGCAGCTCGGAGGCCATGGGCGGCAATCGCTTCTGTGAGCGGAGGAGCGCGTTATCCTATAGGCAGTTGCCCTTGGTTTGTCTTGTATCAGCAGATCAGTAGGTGTCGACTTTGGTCTCCCCTTTGAAACTAACTGACTACTCCAAAAGGAGTGTTCTGGACGTGGGTCCAAGTGTTTTCTCTAAAAGAAAAAAAAACGCATAGTTGACCAATAGAACACTACCATTTTGAGCCGTTGGAGTAAGCCAGTGGCCAGAAACATCCGCTGCACGTCTGGGGTGGTCCATCGATCGCCGCCGTGAAGCCGAAATGGGCTTCATTTCGACGACACTGGACCCACGCCCATCCGCGAAAATGGGGTGCTGACTTGCCAACAGAAAAGCGCCAACGTGTGACCCTGCGACCATCAACCGAGGCCCCCTCCCCCTCGTTTCAGCCGCGCGCTCAAATCATTGAAAGGCTTAAAGGGGTCGCCTCGTTGGAGTGCAAAAGCCACCTCCGGGGCGTTCATGTCACGGATGGCAACCCAAAAACTGCAAGCCCGTCCCAAATCAGGGGGCCACTCTCAATCTCGTTTCTTTTCTGTCCGAAAAGTCACTTCCCCGCGACAAGAAATGCAAAAACCAAACCACCCGGAACCCAACCAAAAAGCGCGCCGGAAAAAAAGAAGAAGGGCGAACGCGCCTTGTCCTTGACGCGGCGGCGGCCTGCTAGGCGGCCGAAGCCCTCGTGGGAGAAGTTGAAGCTTCGCAGCCTCACAGAAACGCGGGTTTGCGCATGTCTGGGGGGCGGTTCCTCTTGCAGTTGTTCCAGATTCATTTTGAATTGCCCTCTCTCCCGCGTTGCCATGGCGCCTGACAGGCCTCTTTGAGTTTGAAATCGGATTTCTTGTCTTCGGCATCGTTCTTCTCAAAACACACACCTCTGGTTCGCTGCGGAAGCTAGCAGCACGTGAATGCCCGGGGTTTCGAGCATTTGGAAATAGGCCAAGTGCCAAATATACAAGGTCTGTGAAAAAAGGCCACAAACTGCCATCCTCTTCTAAAAGTTGTGGCTATCTAGCGCCCAGTAGATGTCACATCTGCAAACCTCAACCCAAAGGAAACTCTTGAGACCAAAAGGTGAGTGAACATTTTGAGGGCTTCTCAAAAATCAGTTGGTCTTTTTTGGAGGGATGTGTTTAGTGTTGTTTTCAGGACACTTCACCCATTAAAATAATAATAATGGGGTTTTGACTCTTATCTGAAACAGGTCCTTTGGGGTGGATTGCCTTGCAATCCATCATGCAAAGGGCGGTGTTGACGGTGAGAGCATCACAACCGTCATGTGCATTCCGCTTGCATGGTTGCTCAACTAACCTGGTCCTTCCCAAGCTTAGAACCTCAGGAAGTCAGAAAGTGAGCGCCACTATGTGAAAGATCGTCCTTCACGGGTCGCGTGTCGCCTGTAAATTCAGACAAAAACTTCCCTGGCCATGCTCGCAGGGCAGCAACCGCCTCGCCGGGAAAAACCGCAAAACTGGGCCCGGCGCAGCTGAGAGGACAACGCCTGACTCGTCGAGCTCACCCCTGTCAGGAGCCTCGGATTTGATGCCCGAAACCTCCTGAACTTATGTTTGGGGGGCGGGGGGGGGGGGGGGAATCGGCGTTCTGATTTGGGTAACCTTAACGCCCCCCCCCCCACGAAAAAACAAAAGAGGAGAAGAGGAAACTGCGGAAACTGCCAATCCCACTCAGAGGCCAACTGCCAAAGGACTCAAAATCAAGACCCCCTTTCAGGTAACCTTTAAAAGAAGCCCAACACGGAAACCAATTTGCGCCGGGTCCGTCATTTGAGACATACTTCAGTCAAACACAAGTTTATAATCCGTGTGGCAGGTGTGGGAAGGTCAATTCTCACACCCTTTCTAAATCATAATAAGACAAGGCTTCCCGGCTTCTCAAATTGACCGCGCAAACCTGTCTAGGTCTCACCACGCAGGATTCCAAGGGGAAGGGACTGCAATTGGCTTTGAACTTCAAGAAGCGCAACTTTTGTCTGGCCTATGAGGGAACCTCTGCAGGACGCACCATGGGCGCTTTCTAGGTGCGCAACCGCGCCTGAGGCAGGACTTCAGCAGCTGATCGCGCTCCGTGCCGAAGTAGCGGTACAGCAACTGGCGAGCATCGGAGCTCGTCCGACCGCTCCGGTATGCAAAGTGCCAGCTGCCCGTGTCAAGAGCGAGGTTTGAGTCATGCCCTTTTGGGTCCCTCGGCAATTGGAGTTGTTCTTTTTCTTTTTTTGCGAAGCCTGGTGCGGGGTGCTATCAGCGCTGCCCTTTTTGACCAACAGCATCGGAAGCGCTAGGACACGCGGGCCCTAGGATATCACGTTGCAAAAGTTTCCGCGATGCTTAACAAGGAAGTCCGGGTACACCTTCCTTATTTGTGAGACAGACCCATCTCCCGCTGGTTGGCCATCCAAATCCTGGATGATACATATAGGGTGTCTAGAAAAATACAATTCAAAATATCCCATCCCCTTTGATTCCTGCTCTTGCTTGTGGATATCATTGATATCACAGCAAATGGTCCAATTCATAGTGAGTGTTCTTTTGATGGGCAATGTTCCAAGAGAATGTGTCAAAATAAGGGACCGCCAAAATGACAGATGTTCTTTTGGTGTTCCTCTAACTTTCATGAATTTGAACGCCTGGAGCTCTCATCCTTACATATGCTAAGACAAACGATTTGATGCCGACGACAATTCGCCTGCATGTGCTCTGAGAGCAGTTTTGCCGCGACGCCCTGCCGTGTCTTGGCAGTCCGCACGCCTGGCCGTTGGTCACGCTTCCAACACGTCACTTCCAACGAGTGGACTGGCCAACAAACAAGTCCAAATCGACTGCACTGTAGCGGGGCCAGCGTCTTCCACAAAGTCTAACCACCAAAATGGTCTTCCCAACGAGTGTTCAAGCCGCTCAACTGGGAAAAGTGGGAACACTCAGGTCTTTCCACGGCTGGTCTTCGACCCCCTGCAAAGAAAGGTTTACCCCCTGCGCAAAATAACGCGTGCTAGTTACATAGTGAACCAGCTAATTTGCAAAAACTCAAATAAAATAGAGGGTCAAGGCAATGGCACAAGCAGGGTGCAACGTGATGAGCCTGATGAGCCTGGAAAGACGGGGGCCATGAGCAAACCAATGGCTTTCCTGAAACCAGCCCGCAAAACAGAAGGGCACTGCTCGCCTCAGCAAGGGCCCCACCCCTCGTCAACTTCCATGGCCTTCTTCAAAGCGCCCCTCCAGGACGCTGGCCAACGTCTCCACCAGCAGAGCGGCAATGCGGCTTCCATCCCCGGAGTCCTGGCCATGTCGATGGTTTCCACTCGCCCCAAGCGCCTGAGGAACAAAAACTTGCCCCCCCTTGGTTTCCCTTTGAAGGCCCCAGCGGCCCAGGATCTCATCTGCCTTGGGCTTCCCATCTGCTTGCTCCAACCCCATATCTAAACAGCCCACAGAGGTTCTACCCCACCAACCCGAGCGAAGCGTCGCGTCTTCGCGCTCCGCCTGGCTGCCCCAGAGCCCAAAGAGCTCCGCGCACTGGGGGGACAGCTGCACGTAGTCGTTCAGCAGCTGCACCTGCGCAGAGAGCGCGCGGAGCGAGAGCGATGCGATCGCGAGGCGACCGCTCAGAGATCTGAAGGATAGGAGAGCTTTATGAAGATGCTTACAAAAGAACCCAGATTCATGAATTGGTTGAGTTTCATGGGGTGTCTGCGAATGTATGGGAACCCAAATGCATGGACTGCTGAGTTTGAGAAACACGATAAAAAAAATGGAACCTGGGTGAACTGGCTGGAGCTTGAAACCCTCCCATCGCTTGCTCGTTAGCTCTGGTGATTTGACCAATCCCTGCTCATTTGCTCGTCCCCAAAGCCAGCTTTTGAATGAACCCCTGGGCGAATGAGTTGATACGGAAATGTCACATTTCGGTGTGAGTTTTAACTGGGGACCCTGTGTTGGACATCATTTAGGTGGGGATTCAGACCCACCAACCCCTCTTGAGGTGGTGCTCTTGGCCAATCAAGAGGGCTAATTATCTGAATGGACAATGTTTGGATGTGAGGGGACAAGCATTCGAACTGCACGAAGTTTAACACAACGAGAATCTGGGCAAATAACCATCATGGGTAATGTGAACCCCGGAATACTAAACACCTGGTTGATGTTGATTCGGGGGTGTCCCCTCAAAGTCAGAATGGATGTATCAAATCCGCGGGCTATGCTCAGTTTAGACACCGAGTGTGTCGGTGAGTCATTCGAATGACATTTGGAAGCGCTGTGGGGGCTCTCAGCGAGCTGGTCCAAAGCTTGTCTGCCTTGCAAAACACGACCTTGTCCTCAGCACGTCATCCACCTCCCATAGGGGTCCTTTTTGAAGAGTTCCAGAATGATTGGTGGACATGAATTCTCATAGTAGATGGCCCTGGTAGATGATTGAACCACCAGGTAAACCAGGAATCGCCCTTTGTTGTTCAACGAAACCACCCAACAAGGACGCCTATGCCTCCACGCAAGTCGCTGCTGGAACCTCCATCACGGTGACCCCTCCAACGGGTCTGACAAATCATCGCTGCGGCGGTTCATTTCGGCCACAGAGGCCACTCCTCACAGCTTTCCTTTCACGGGTTTTTCCAACCCCAAGGCATCGATCCCTTCGCGTCGGTTCGTAGCGCGCTTCGCTTCGCTTCTGAGGGGCTCGGAACACTCGTCAAAGGGCACTTCCCCTTTTCAGGGAGCGCTGGGAATGATTCTTGGCGGAGCCCAAGGGAGAGAGCCCTTGTCAAAAGGAAAGAAGGGCGGTTCATGAGCCTCCACGTACCAACAATACATTGGGGGGGGGGGGGGTTGGTTGAGACTCTCTCAGTCCAACCATCCCCCCTTTCTCACGGGATCTTTCGTGACCATCGGCAAATATGTAGGGACTCTCAAAGTGCCGCCGGAAATGTACATCACCCAACAGGGTGGATTGGCCAAAATGGCCTCAGGGAAAGCCCATGCAAACTTCTACTTAGTAAGGGGGTTATGATCATGGTTCTAAGGGCACTAGCCCCACTTACCCCAGTTCTTGCCATTCTTATAATGTTGACCCCAGATGAATACACCCCCTAATAAAATTATTAGGGGGCATTCCTACAAAAGCCATGAACCCCACAAAGGGGGCACCCTTAAAAAGCAACCAGCATCTTATTCATCTGGGGTGCCATTTGTGGTTCTAACCTCCCAAGCATAGGTGACCTTTTCGAAAAATAGATGGGCTCCCTGGTACATGGGACATAAAACGAAACAGTGGAATCCATCTATTTCTAACTACACTCACCGATCAAAAGGACACCTATGCTTCTCTGTTTCTGCTTCATATTTAGACCTTAGACAGGAAGAAGTGGACTTTACAATCCTTGGTACTTTGTTTCTTGCAGCCCCCTAAAAATTACACACATACAAAACCCTAAAAACCTAAAACAACTTGTTCCAACAACACATGACCACATGACTAGAGTCAGGCCCAGTCATAGAATATATACCTTATTGGCTGTTTCACTGTAAATCATTGGTAAATTCTGAAAAAAAGTCTACCCCACAATAGCAACCCCTATTTTTTCCTCATACCAAATATGAACAGAACCAACCAACCCAAAAACCTAAAAACCTAAAAAACTAAAAACCTAAAACAACTTGATCCAACAACACATGACCTGACTAGAGTCACGCCTAGTCATAGAATATATACCTTATTGATTGCTTCACTTTGCGTTACTGGTAAAGTCTGCAAACCCCAGAACAGCGAAGTGGCTCTTTCTATCCTCAGTAGCTAAGGCCAAGTCTTCCCCTCGCCTCCCCGCCGCGGAGCTCCACACAGATCCCGGCCAGGGCCGCCTCCGCAGTGCCCGGGTCACCTGCGTCTCCAAAAGCGAAACCACGTGCCCCGAAAAATCATCGGTGCGTTTCCTCTTGCTGTCCCTTCAGACCACTCAAAAAAAAAACCCTCCAAACATAAAAAACCAATGTTTGTAAGGGAACCTGGGAACCCGAAGTACAATCGCTATGTTGAAAAGTCCCCTAAAAAAACACTCGTCCAAATAAGAGCTGGCCTCGAAAACCAGTTGCTCGTTTCCTTTTGGTGTCCCTTAAAGCCACTCCAAAAGGTGCGAATACTTGAAGGAGACGAACCACATTTACCCTCCCACCAGTTCACAGGGAACCTGACGTTTGGGGGGTCCTGGAAGACTAGTTTCCTTTAAAACGGGATCTCCCGTCAGGTTCCGTCTTCATTGGTGGGAAGGTCCTGGGTGCGTTGACATGGGACTCGGACCCCAGAACGCCCCTCGAAGCTCGGGCGCCGGCCCAGGTTCTGGGAGAAGAGCCTTGCCCGCTCTGCACCTGGCGTTGAGGAGTCTTTGCCGCCGGTTTGGCTCGTAGGTTTGCACCCGGTTTGGCTCGCTCCAAAACCATGGAACAACGACAACTGCTCAGGGAAGCAGGGAATGACTAAAGAATCCCCGATTGGGCTTCCTTTAAGGGAATCCCCGGGTTCATTCCATTTCTCATTAGCTGCTGGCACCAGCAAGATAGAACAACGACAACTCCTAGATGGAAGACACCCAACACCGTGCAAGGGTCGGGAAACGCCTCTTAGCCGTCCAAAGCTCATTTGACTTGGGACCCTTCCCAAAACAATCCTAGCCAAGAGCTTTCATCCTGTAGAACTTCCTGAGTGGGCTGGCCTTAACAAAATAGACCATTTGGTGTTGGCACTATGGCCCAAACCCAAAAGTGGCTAAAGCCAATGAACTCAGGAAGCGCGAGAATTGAGCGATTCTGCAAGCAAACTCTTGCTCGACTTCCCCCAAAGCCGTGGAAGGGCATAGGAAGGCTATGGCAAATGCAAAAGGCTTCCTGGTTCCCGGGTGAACTGGC